CACGCCCCAGCGGCTCGCGGGGTTGTCCCAACGGCCGTTGCCCCGACGGCTTCGCGATTTTGCCATCGGAGAACGCGCCCCTGCTGGGCGCGGCGGCGACGTCGCCGAGGAAAATCGGCATGCGCACCCCTGCGAAGAGGAAGGTGAGGTGCATGAGGAGAGCAGACGAAAATGAGATGATGGGGGGGGAGACGGAGGAGGTGGAGGTGGAAGAGGTTGAAGAGGAGGAGCAGGAGGAGGAGGAGGAGGAGGAGGAGGAGGGAAAGGATGAAGAGGAAGAGGAACATTGAACAAAGGGGGCGAGAAGGAGGAGGCGACGGAGGACGAGGAAGACAAGGAGGATGAGGAGGAGGAGGCGCAACAGAGGGCGAAGAGGAAAGAGCGAAGGGCGAAGAGGAAAGAGCGAAGGGCAACCTAAATAGATTCTGATGCGGGGTCCTACCGTCGGAGTAATGCTTTTCGCGACGCGAGCACGTCTGGGAAGGACGGCCGCGGCGCGGCCCTCAGCGCTTCTTCCGCGGCTTGCGCCCCCCGCCCCGGGACGAGCTCCCCGCCGCCCCGGAGGAGCCGCCGCCGCCACCGAGCAGACCGTCCATGCCCGCAAACATTGCGGCCAGGTCGTCTGCAGTGGGCATGCCGGGCACCCCGCCCGCGCCTGCAGAGGAAGAAGAACCTGCACAAGCACGACCTGTGGGAACTCCGCGCGGACGTCATAGGGGAATCCGAAGGAATCGGTCGGAATTTCTTGAAACCTCCAGGAGTCGCCAAGAATCCAGGAGACCATAAAGAATCCGGAAGACCCCCCAAGGATCCTTCAGGAATCCGCTCGGAGTCCCCAGGGACCTGCCAGGAACTCACAGGGATCCTCCGGAATCCACTGGAATGCTTCAGGCATTCATGGTAACCCCTAGGAATCCTGCATGGGAACCCCTAGGAATCCCCAGGGATCTCCAAAGAACCCGATAGGAACCGCTCAAGCTCCCAGGGAAAGACGCCCCCGGGGGCGGCGCCGGCGGGCGCAGCTCTCTGGCGCGCTCCGCGCGCCAGGGGGGGGGGGGGCGCCACAGCTCCAGGAACACCGCGCGGGGTCTCGAGTTTGGTGGCTCGTGCAGTGTTCTTCTCCGAGGGCCGGGCATCATCCCAGCCATCATGCCGGGCATGCCCCCCAGGTCGTCCATCTGCGCCTCCGGACATCATTCATCCCTGAGATCCGGGCGCCGGGATGGTTTCGCGGCCTGGGCGGTTTTGCCCGTCTGGGGGCCCCAGGACAATCCAGGATCGGCCAGGTCAAGAACGTACCGCAGAAAGAACGAACCTAGGGCTGCGGCCGTGATGCTTCGCGATGCTGTTTTTTTCTCGCAGCGTCGGAGCTCAGAAAGCCAATCCCTATCCCCACTGGCGTGGCCTTGGCCCCACTGACCGACCTGCCCACCTATGGATGGGCATTTCTGCACCTGTTGCTGCGGGTCTCGCGGGGCCCATACACACCTGGGAGGACGGGCTGGTGGGGCCGAGATACAGTCTGGACGCGGCCGCAAGACACCCTCGCAAGAATCCCAGCCCTGAAGACCCGCGCACGAGATGGACCTACTAAGGGGAAATCCGCCGCGCCGACCCCTTGCGAGTCCTCAAGCGTGTGATATTCGCCCCTCCCCCCCCCCCATAATTCGGGGATGGACAGATCTCCCTTTAGTCAAACGTGGTTTAGTGAAAACGACCTGAGGCCCAAACCTGGCGGGCGCAGGCCTGGAAAATAACGGCCACGGCGCCCTCTCGAGAACCGAAAACGGACAATTCACTAATCGACGCGTCACTGTTGGGGGTTCTGTCCACCTCCGAATAATGCCCCCCCAGGGACCCCAAACCGCGAGTCGAACCCCTCCCCCCCGGGCTCCGCCAGGTCCGTGACAGTGCGCGCCAGGGGGGGGGGTCGAGGGACCCAACACGGGCCAGTGGGGCACCGTGACCCTCCCCAGACGGTCCAACGAGGCTGAAATGCCGCCCCATTGACGCCGAAGACGACCTCCAGACGGCCTCCGAAACCCCAAGACACCCCAAGAGGCCCCAACGATGCGCCCCAAGAGGGTCCCCAGACGCACATGGTCCCATTCCCTTCGTAAAACGTAAATTTTAAAGACACTCGCCGTTTTGGCTGTCCGACGCTCCAAGACGGCCCACGAGGCCCCTGAGACCGCCCCAAGGCGGCCCAAGGGGCTTCTCGGCGGTGGACAAACCTCCCTTTAGTAAACCTCCCCTTAGTGAAAACGGCCTGGGACCGAAACCGACGGACCAGAACCTGCAACAAAAATTACGACCACGACGCCCCCCCGCGATCCCAAAACGGCCAATTCCTTAATCGACGCGTCAGAGAAGGAGGTCTATCCGCCTCCGAGCTTCCATCCGGAGGTCCAAGGCTCTAGAGGAGGAGGAGGAGGGGGAGCAGGAGGAGGAGGGGGAGGAGGAGGAGGAGGAGAGGAGGAGGAGGAGGGGGGAGGAGGGAGGAGAGGAGAGGAGAGGAGGAGGAGGAGAGGGAGGAGGAGGAGGAGGAGGAGGAGGAGGACGAGCAGGACTCCAAGACGGCCCGCGGGGTGTCCAGGACGGCCCGAGAGAGAGCCCCAGGACGGGCCGCAGAGAGGGGGCCCTGCGAGGGGGATTCCGCGCGCAGGCACCTCGGGCGTCCCGCCGCCAAGAGAGGCCGCCAGGAATCCCCAGGATCCTCCTCCTCCTTCTCCTCCTCCTCCTCCTCCTCCTTCTCCTCCTCCTCCTCCTCTGCCTCCTTCTCCTCCTCCTCCTCCTCCTCCTCCTCCTCCTCGTCCTCGTCCTCGTCCTCCCGAAGAAGCCCCCAGGGGGCCCCCAAGGAGGCCCCCCCGAGAGGCCCAAGAGAAGCCCCCCGAGAGGCCCCCAAAAGAGGCCCCCAAAGGCACCACCAAACCGCCGCGAGCTTGCCTCCAGGAGGCTCCGAAGAGGCCCCCAAGGAGGCCCCCAGGAGGCCCCCCCAAGAGGCCCCCCAGGGGGGCCCCCAAAAGACCCCCAAAAAGGGCCCCAAGAGGCACGCTCAGACCCCCGCCAGGAGGCCGCGGAACTTGCCTCCAGCAGGCCCCCGAGCAAACAACCACGAACACCCATGAGCCCTCTATCATCGTCGTCGTCGTCGCCGTCGTCGTCGTCGTCGCCGTCGCTGCTTTTGACCCCCATATCCTACTCATCGTCCTCCTCCTCCTCATCATCCTCCTTCTCCTCCTCCTCCCCATCCTCATCCTCCTTCTCATCTTCCGACTTGTCCTGCCCCTCACTGTGTTCGCCGATGTGCCTCGAGTGGTACCACTTGAGGCGTATAACTCCTCACCAGCAATCCAGGCGTCCCCAGAGGCCCCAAAACGGCTCCCCAAAGGCCCTGAATCTGTCTCCACGAGGCTCCCGCGTGTCCAACCACGAGATCCCGACCACCATTCATGACTCCCCAACGTCGTCATCGTCGTCGTCGTCACCGTCGTCGCCTTTTTCACCGCCATATCCTATTCATCCTCCTCCTCCTCTTCCTCCTCCTCCCCTTCCTCCCCCTCCTTCTCATCCTTCGACTCTTCCTCCCCTTCCCCGATTCGCCCGATGTGCCTCAAGTGGTACCACTTGGTGTACCTTCCAGCCCGCATTCCAGGCACCAAGGGTCAACGCCACACAGAGCACCCCACGAAACACCCCACGAAAAACCAAACCTAATGTAACACAAAACACATCACGCTACACCACACGAAACATCCCACGAAACACGCACGAAACACTACACGGGGTACCCAACGAAACACCCCGCGAAACCCTCAACGAAACACTCCACGGGATGCCCCACGAAAGACCCCACCTAACTTTCCGTGAAACACACCACCAGAGGCGCCCAAGAAGGCACGAAGACGGCCCATAAAGCCACGAAGACAGTCCAAGAGAACTCTCAGACGGTTCCAAGGGGGAGCCTCGACCGCAAGGTTGGAAGCTCTCGGCCCCAACATTCCCCCAGGTCGCCCGAAGAACCTACCAAGACGCCTCCATGGAGCCTCAAGACAGGCCAATCCAAGAAGGCCCCGAGTCGCCCAACGCGGCCCCCAGGCGGACCCAGATGCCCCCAAGACACCCCTGAACCCACCCTCTCGCTTTCATCTACATCATCACACTGGACGCCCTCACAAACCATCGGAAACAGTCTACACTCAGGGGGGTCGGCGGATGTGGCGTAAGCCTATAGAACCTTGAGCACCCTGAACGCATCAGCTTCTTTCCCGGCCACGGGAAGTCACCGCGCATGGCGCGGAGCGAACAAACCCAGGGTACCCTGACGAAAATCACCTGGCTTCTTGATGCGCGTCCCCACTGTACCATGCCCCAGTGGGGATGGAGACAGATCACGATGCTGAGCCTCCAGAAACTGGTGCAGCTCCTCTTCGTGCTGCTCCACCGCGTGCTTGCACGCCGCCTCCTCCGACCGCATCGACCTATTGCAGATGCCGCAGCGGAACAGCAGTCGCCCGCCCTCGCGGACGGGCTGCACCACCGCCTCCAGAAAGGCGTCGATGAGCTGCTCCGCGTCCTCGTCGTCGAGACCGCCCGCCTCCATCGCCATCCGCTCCTCTCGTGGGCGCGGAACATCGCCTCATCTGCGGCCTCGCTGGCCGGGCCCCTGCTGGACCGCTGCCCCGTGGATGCGCGGCGTGTACGTCGGTCGCATCCCCCCCGTGCGGGAAGCGTGTCCGTGCGACTGCGCATCCACGGGGTCGCGCTCCTGAGCCCGGGCCGCGAGGGCGTCTGATGTGGACGAGCTCTCCGCCCCTGATCCTCCGCGGCCTTGTGTTGAGTCGGGCATGTCCTCCTACAGGCGGATCTCTGGAGAAACATGCAACAGAGTCAAACAAGTGCCCCCAAGTGGCCAAACATCATAGAAAAATCGTCCCCAGACTATGTTTCACTATTTTTGAATACTCCTTCTGTAGAGAGACATGCCCGACTTTAAGAGCCTTGTGGCACTTCAAGCACATGCAATAATCGCACTTGCGGCAGTCGTAGAAGCGCTTGCCCGTCGAGATGTCCTTCCCGCACTCGTCGCACGCACGCCCGGGAGACGCCAGCAGACCACCCCCCCAACCCACCCTGGCGCCTCGCCGATCCTCGGGACACAGATCGGTGTCCACGCCTCCCTGGCCAAGCCAGGATGGCGCACACCACACACACACACAAACACACACACAAACACACACACACACACACGCACACACACAAAAAACACACACACACACACGCGCACACACACACGCACACATATACACACACACTCACACACACACACACACACGCACACACACACACACACACACACACACACACACACACACACACACGCACGCGCGCACGCACGCACGCACGCACGCACGCACGCACGCACGCACGCACACACGCACACACGCCCGCCCGCACGGCCAGAGCCGCGCGCGCGCGCAGTGTCAGTAGGAGCGGCGCGGCGCGGCCACGCCGGGGCGGTGTGCGGCAGCGCAGAGGGGGGCCACGCCAAGGTTATTCGACGAGCGTGTTCCACTGCTCGCAAAGGAACTACTCGCAAATGGCCTGGATCCCCCGCGGGGGATCTACGGTCCATTACATCGAAGCAGACATGTGCTTTTCGGACGTTTGCGAGTAGGCACTTTGCGAGTTTTGGAACGCGCTCGGTGAGTTATAGGCGGGCAGTGGGCCTCGGCAGAAGGCCAGGACCGGGCGGCCGGAGCCAGAGAAAACCGCGGCGCGCTGGAGAGACCATCGCGCAAGGGAAGGCGGGCGGAGCGGGGCAGAACAGCGCGGAGGGCCGCGAAGAAAAGAGGCCGAGAGGCCGGACACACACACACAGACACACGTAGGCGCACACGTACACACACTCACACGAACACGCACAAGCACACGCACACGCACACGCGCGCGCGCACACCCACACGCACACGCACACGCACACGCACACACACACACACACACACACACACACACACGCACACACACGCACACGACACGCACACGCACACGCACATGCAGACGCGCACGCGCACGCGCACACGCAGACGCGCACGCGCACGCGCACACAAACGCGAACGCGAACGCGCAAGCGCACGCGAACGCGCACGCACACGCACACGCACAAGCACCCCACACAAACACACACACACACACACATACGCACACACACACACGCATACACACACACGCACACGCTCGCACACTCGCACGCACACGCGCACGCGCACGCACGCGCACACGCACACGCACACACAAACACTTTTTGGCGGCGGGGCCTCGCGCGCAACGACGAGGCGCAGGAAGACACGAGGCGAGAAACACACACACACATATCGATCATGGCCCAGCCGACAAGTCGGTGACGTGGCCGGCTGAGACGCCCCCCGACATACTCCGCGTCCGCCTTCTTGCGCTTCAGTGGGTGGCCCGCGGCGCACCGGACCACCACCTCTGGCTCGTCCGCACCGCCGACCATCCCCGCCATCCCCGCCATCATCTCTGCGAAGAGCCGCGCCTCCGCGTCGGCGGCGGCCGCGCTGCCCGCGGTGCCCCCGCCACCGCGCCGCGAGCCGCGGCCCTTCTTTCTCCTGCCTCGGCGCCCGCCGCCGCGCCGGAACGCCGCGCCGCCGGCGGCGCGCAGGAACTCGTCCAGCATGGCCTGCTCGTCCTCGTCGAGGTCCTCCGCGCCGCCGCCGAAGCCGCCGAAGCCGCCGAAGAAGGCCGCGAAGAGGTCCTGGGCGTGGCCGAGGTCCGCCTCCTCGAGCTCCTCGGCGTCCACGCAGCCGGTGGAGTCGTACATCTCCCGCCGCTGCGGGTCGGAGAGCACCTCGTACGCCGCGGAGATCTTCTGGAAGGCCTCGGTGGCGGAGGGGTCGCCCTGGTTCTTGTCTGGGTGCCAGCGCAGGGCCAGGCGCCGGTAGGCCTTGCGGAGGTCGGCCTCGTTCACGTCGGTCGAGACCCCGAGGGTGCTATATCCGCCGCCGCGTCGCGGCGGGGCTGTTGGATCGGTCCTGCCTGTGGAGCACTAGTGCAGGGCCTGCCACCGCATCCAGGCCCGCGTGCGCTCCCTGCATTGCTCCGGGCCCCTGGACGCCAGTCTTGGCCGCCCGGCGAGGAAGGCTGCGATAGGCTTACGGAGGAGCAACCCGTGGGGCGAAGGACACTCGGATTCCCTGGATGGTGGCTCGAAGGTCGCCACATCCGAACCCTGCCCCTGCCAACTATCGTTCCCCCTGAATCGGTTGGAAGCGGCGTCTGGGCGGCGGCCGTGCAGCCGTGGGCCGGCGGCAGCAAACCCGGCCTGCGTGCCTGGGAATAGGCCGATCGCTGCCGAGGAGGAGGAGGAGGAGGAGGAGGAGGAGGAGGAGGAGGAGGAGGAGGAGGAGGAGGAGGAGGAGCGGGAGGAGGAGGAGGAGGAGGAGGAGGAGGAGGAGGAGGAGGGGCGGGGTTCGGATTTCGCCACGGGTTCGACGAGTTCCCAGCCACACCCCCGCCGCCCATCGAGCTGCCTGAGGCGTGGATCGGCGAGGGCCTTCGTGGTTGGGCCAGTGTACAAGAGCAACTTGAGGCATCGAAACAGGATTGAAGGAGCCCTAGGACACACAAATAAATACACACAAGTAAAATGATTCCCCATATTTTCCTGTATTTGCTGGGTTTTTGTCTTCCCACCCAATTCCCATATTTTCCCATGTTTTCCTGGGACTCGACGATTAATTGTGTCTGTGTGTTTCTTCCCCTCCTGAACAACTTGAGGCATCGAAACATGATACCGGAATGCCTAACCACAACTCGCAAGCCCAGAGGGTGGTCTGCGGGGCGGAGGGCCTGCGTAGGCCATCAGCAAATCTGCCCAGCGGCCACCATGCAGCTTACAAAATTGTGGTCAGGCCTGCTTGGGCGGCCTTTAACGGCGCAGGCAGCCAGCAATGACCTCCCTCGCACTAACCATCCAGTACTCCACCACCCTCCCGCGCCCGGGGTGCGCCGCTCCCCCTGGGATGCTGCAACTTACATGTGCTCATGCCCCGTCGCTCCTTTTGCACACGAACTCACGCCATCCCCGCCAAGCAGATATCGACCCCCTCCGCTCCCTCGAGTTCTGCGGGCGCGCACTTCGCATAATCCTCCCGAGCGCAATCGTTTTCATCAACGGCACCGTCATGGTCATCAGAATCGCCATCATCATCATCAGCAGCAGCATCATCCTCATCAGAATCATCATCATCATCATCATCATCATCATCATCATCATCATCATCAGCCTCAGCAGCAGCAGCAGCATCAGCATCAGCATCATCACCATCAACATTATCATCATCAACCTCATCATCATCAACATCAACATCACCATCATCAGCATTATCACCTTAACCGTCACCATCACCATCACCATCATCATCATCATCATCGTCATCATCATCGTCATCATCATCATCACCATCACCATCACCATCACCATCACCATCATCATCATCATCATCATCATCAGCATCATCGTCAACAACAATCGCAACATTACCATCAACATCATCATCATCACAGCCGCCGGCGTCGTCGCCCTCGTCAACGTCGTCGACCTAGTAGTCAAAGTTCTAAGCGCGGGCACCGCCGTCTCCTCATCCTCCGCCTCGTCGTCATCATCATCACCAGCAGCAGCATCAGCATCATAGCATCGTCATCATCATCATCATCATCAACATCCACATCCACATCATCATCATCATCATCATCATCATCATCATCATCATCATCATCAACAACAACAACAGCAACAACATCATCGCCTCATCAACATCACCGTTACCACCAACAACACCATCGGCACTAGCATCGCCAGCTTCATGGTTCACACCGTCATTCGCATCACCTTCAGCTCATCTCTATCACCATCGTCGTCTTCGTCAACGATCTCCTTTTTCACTGCCATCGCCATCGGCATCAGCGCCATCATCGCTGTCATCGCCGTCATTGTTAGTGCGGCGGTCACCCTCAACGCCGCCACCATATCGCGACCTAGAGGACACCCTTGTTTACGCGGTTGATTTCAACGCCCCCGCGATCCCTTTGAGATCATCGCCATGCGAGCTTTGCCGAAACGTGGCGGTGGGGTGGGATGCTGGCACGAGCAGCAGTGGACTTCACGGCTTCAAGAATTGCGACAATGGATTCAACAACAAAAAACACCAGCAAGCCTTCACGTGTCCTCTACTTGGGCTGCAGACCTCGACGTATGGCTGCGATCGCCCAGGAGAGTACAGGCTCTGGCCGAAGGCGAAGCTGCGAAAACGTGGTGGTGGTATACATGCAATGTGGCCTTGACGCCATGAGAATTCTCAACGCATGGTATAGCTTTTCAACACACTAGGTCATAGACTAGGACAAATAAGTTACAACCAACCCGTGTAATAAGGCTGCGCGTTAAGGATGCAAGGGCCGTGGACACACATGCCGAGGCTCTTCGAGCGGGGCTGGCCATCGAAGATGACTGAAGAGGCAAGGATGCGAGGGTACCCATCAAGAAATCGATAATCCTTATTAGGCTCCCGCCTCGGCAGACGTCCGCGCGGTTCTCCTCGGCCCCACGAGATCCCCGCGGAGACCGCAGGAGGCCTCCAGGGAGACCCGAGAGGGGGTGCCACCAGCGGCAAAGACATTTTGTTGCGTGCGTCGGCGGCTAGGCAGGGGTGGTCTGCGCTGGCGGATGAGACTGACTGCACGGGGGCACCGCTGCAGCGAACTGGCCACCGTGCACGCGGGGGCAGGGCGGAACAGCGGGCGGCCGCGGGGAGTCTCCTCGGGAGGGACACGAGGGGGGAGGGCCGCTCAAGGCATGGACCAAGCCACTACTGAAATGATTAGCGTAGAATGCAGGATCCAAATGTGACTCGCAATTGCAGCTGCAGCCGTCTCGTTTTGGAAAGCACGCGCCACGCCCCGAGCGGCTGGCGGCGGGCAGCGGCACGGAGCCCTCGCGCCGTCGACCCGCGGGGGGCTCCGCGGCCTCGACGTCGGCGCCCCCCCGCGCCGGCGCGGGGGGGCGCCAGGCCGGGCGCGACAGGGGACGCTGCTCTGGCCACAGCGAGCCTCGATGCCACGAAACGGGCTCCCCGGCCTGGCTCTGAGGTGCAGTCTGACGAATTACCTACGAAACCACCCCAACCCGACCCGGAGACCCGAATGTCGCCCGAGTTTCGGGTTGGGGGGGGGGTACGGGTTGGCCACGTATCTGTTCCATGTGCCCCGCCCCCCCCCCACACTGAAAATGGAGGGCAAATTGAGGCCTTCTGGTTGGGTTGGGGTGGTTTGGTGGGTGGTGACAGTCAGGGCGCTGACCTAAGGAACCCTACAAAGGGAGCGGGGCCCCTGTTTCCCCATAGGTGAAACTTCGACTTCCCATGGAAAGCCTCCGGAGAACCTGAGGCAAATTGAAAAACACTCAGGGAACACCGAGCCCCTCCCCAACGAAAAGGGTTCTTTCTTCAGCGCCCCGAGTAGGAGGTCTATCCACCTCCGAGACTCGAGACAGCCGCATGGACCTCCGGCAGGTCTGGTCCCGAATCTCAGCGGGTCATACCCCAGACCCCCTCGCGCTGTGGAAAAATCACGACGGGAGGTCTTTCTCAATTTTCGGCCTCGGGGGGGCCCTTCCCGGGCCTCGGAGGCAGTCAAAAAGCGACTCAGGATGAAAAACCAGCCCCGGGGAAAGGGTCCAGAGCACTGGGGGTCGACGTTGTGAAAAAATCAAGACGTCGGGGTCTGGGACAGGTTGGGGCGCCCGAGTTATCCGGGGTAACTCGGGTCCGGGGTAACTCGGGTTTGGATTCCCGAAAAAGGAACCCGAGTTAGCCCTGACCCGAGTTACCCCTGATGATGTGGGGCTCTGGACGCCCGAATTATCTGGGGTAACTCGGGCCCAGGGTAACTCGGGTTCGGATTCCCGAAAAACGAACCCGAGTTAACCCTGACCCGAGTTTCCCCTGATGATTCGGGGCTCTGAAGGTTCTCCTCCTCATCCTGATTCGCAGTGCCTTTTGTGCACGCGGTCTCGCGGCGAGAGAGCCCCGCGGGATCTCCGACGAGTCGCCACTCCTCCTGTGGAGGGGACCCGAGGTCGAGAGCCGCCGCAGGGCCTGGAGGAGGAGGAGGAGGAGGAGGAGGAGGAGGAGAAGGAGGAGGAGGAGGAGGGGGAGGAGGAGGGGGAGGAGGAGGAGGAGGAGGAGGAGGAGGAGGAGGAGGAGGAGGAGGAGGGGGGGGGACACGGCACACGACACCGCGCCCCGAGCCTCGAACCCTCGAAGGCTCGATCCTTCGATCTCGCGGCCCCCCCTCTGGCGGGCAGAAAATCCGCCCGACAAACCACCCCGACACGCGAAACCGTTCTGGAAACGCACCCAAAGAGGGAATCACACAGGGCAGTGCTGTTTGGTAGACGCCCAAGGTCGTTGAGTAAACGCCAATTGTCCCGTCCCGGTGTTTTTGTTCCTCCCTTGGCCCTTAGACGAAGCCAGGATGAAGACAAGTCCTGATCCTAAGTCGCCTGACCTCGCGCATCGCAACCAGCGATGAGCGGTGACACGTCGGTCGGCACGAGTAGGTGTGAACATGAAGGAAGTAGGAAGGCGGACAAAGTAGACGGGGTTCAGGCTCTCCCGGGGAACAACAACACATAGCAAAAGGGTATGGGCTCTTGAAGTAAGAATGCGCGCTCGAAGTAAATTGGGAGTGGGAATCCAACAAATGTCTACAGTATGGGCCCCGACCACGAGAAACCTTCCACAAGAAACACGACCCTGAACCCCCAGGACGTCCATTCACGTTTCGTGTGACAGGGCTGAACCTAAAAGGTGTTGTTCGTTTTCGTGTTGTGTTCGTTCCACCTCGCTTTTTGTCGTCTCGAGCCCTCCTTCCCCCGCAGAACGAGGCCGAACCGAAGACGGCCCACGAGATCACCAAGAACACCGTCCAGGTCCAGCCCTGCCGTGTGAGAACGTCACGCGTTCCATGGCAA